ATACTACATTTGTATTCCACTCTAAATGTAGGTTTAAATAGTTTGTATTCCAGCAATTAGACAAGACTGTGTTCGAGCCAGCATATCCAGTCATATACAGAGGGATGTATAGCTTCATATCGCGTCTCTCTGGCCACATGCTCTCAGGCAAACTCAACCCATATGTGGTGGTAGGATGTGTGTTTCCAGCAGGCAGAGGAAGGACTTGCAGCTTGTAGGGAGTTGAGTGACAAACCGCTCCAGTGTGTGAGTGATAGCAGGCCGAAGATTGGAGACCAGCTGTGGTGTGTGTGTGTGTGTGTGTGTGTGTAGAAGGATTCAGGGGGATGGAGCCGTTGCCAGATCATCTGAGGACAGGATCAGTGATTGCTTTGGCATGGACGAGAGTAACTTGCACTCATGGGAGAACAGCCATGTGGTTGTTACCCCACACGTTCACAAATGGGGTTAAAAATGGTCTGCCCAAAACTGAGGAAATAAAAGCTTCATGTGTCTGCTGTCGATTAGCACAGAAAACAAACTGCATTTAAAATGAAAGTTATCGTATAGTTGACCAGAAAAGAGATGTATAATGTAAGAAGAGATCCTGAAAAATTATGCCAAACAATTTTAATTCTTAGTTATGATTATGTATAAATGAACGTGGATTTTATACCATGCACTTTTTACTGTGTATAAGTTAACTTTGTATTTTCTTTCCTCTGCTCTGTATAGTGTATCCTTTTTAGAGGACAATGCTTGTTTTATACAATATAGGCAGATTAATAATAATAAACTACTTTTTTTTACATCTTTTATGCCAAAAATCATTAGGATATTACATAAAGATCATGTTCCATGAAGATATTTTGTAAATTTCTTAACGTAAATATATCAAAACTTAATTTTTGATTAGTAATATGCATTGCTAAGAACTTCATTTGGACAACTTTAAAGGCGATTTTCTCAGTATTTAGATTTTTTTACACCCTCAGATTCCAGATTTTCAAATAGTTGTATCTCGGCCAAATATCCTGTCCACCTGATCTGTCCTATCCTAACTAACCATACATCAATGGAAAGCTTATTTATTCAGCTTTCAGATTATTTATAAATCTTAATTTAAAAAAATTGGCCCTTGTGACTGGTTTTGTGGTCCAGGGTCACATATGTGTGTGTACTTTGTATGTTTATTATGTATATATAAATACACACACATGCATGTATATACATGTAAATATTTTCAAAATATATGCTGTATTTGTGTGTATTTATATATACATAAATATACACAATACACACATATATTATGTAAACAAAAACTTTTTTTCTTTTTCTTTGGTGACACTTCTCTGGGAAAGTCAGACCTTGCGTTCGCGGGACAGCACTGGCGAAATCTTCCAATGGAACCATAGCTAAGGTTTATCCAAAAAAGTCGCTAGGTTTGTCAGTATGAATATTCTATGGAAAAAAGCTGCTAAAAGGGTCTGAAAGTTGCTAAATCTAGTGCTAAAGTCGCGCTCGTGTGTGTGAGACGCGGGAGCTGATGGACAGGGGGTGGTGGATATTTGTGGCGGTCAATGTGAATATTGTGGATGAGTTCTTCTGTGTCATCACGTTCTATTAGTTCTACAGCTTCAGTTTCGGAACTTTCACGCTTAGTAACACATGCAGCTGTTCCCTCACCACAGTGCAACAGTGAAAAGAGACCCCTTTCAAACAGTGTGGCGTTCCGAATGTTGTTTAAGCGACACACTGCGGTATTTTAAAAATTCATGTCATAACAAAAATAAACACCGGTATACCGCCCAGCACTAGTACACCCCCTCTGAATAAATATAAAAGATGTATTTTCTTAATGATCACTAATATAATTCATGGAAAGATGGCAAAATTTAAACATTAAACATATACTTAATAAAAACAACAAAATATATGCCAATATTTTCTGTAAGATAAGCAAATTAGCCAATTTTGTTTAAATGAAGGATTGCAGAAATGAGTAAACCCTAGATTTAAGTCAGAAAATGTATAATATTCTAGTACTTCGTATGTCCTCCAGAACTTAAAGTATACTGCTCTGACACTGACACTTCTTGGCACTGAGTGTACAAGTTCATGACAAATTTTTCTAATCTGTCCTGTTTAACTCCTGGACAACCTCCTTAAATGCTGTGGTCTTCAATGGGGAGTTTTGCTCAGCTCGTCTCTACAGAATCTCTCACAGCAGCTCAAGAGCATTAAGATTGAGTCAAATACATGTCCACTGAAGGATTTTCACCTTGGGAGAACAAATATCTTAATTGTCATGCTGAAAAAATGCCCAACAATGCAGGGAATGAGGGGAGGGTAGCATTTTCTATTTCAGGTTTTTGTATTACATCACACAGTGGTGTGTGAATTCATGCCAGCATTGATAAAGCACAACTCCCTCACACCTTCAGCACTCATTCATCCCTATATAAAAGCTTTACTACCACTGAACGTCACTGTGGGTACCAAGCACTTCTCACTGTATTCCTCCTCTAGCAACACCAGAACATTTTAGATGCTTTTGGATCCAAAATTATTGACTTGGGTATGAGTATTATTGAGTATGGATTCCCAGAAGTCTCTATTTTGTAAATATGGGCCCTGGAAGAGGTTAAAGGGGTCATATGATGCAATTTCAATTTTTCCTTTCTCTTTGGAGTGTAACAAGCTCTTGGTGCATAAAGAAGATCTGTAAAGTTGCAAAGACTAAAGTCTCAAATCCAAAGAGATATTCTTTATAAAAGTTAAGAGTCAACCACACCTACCTAAAACAGCTCGTTCTAACATGCCCCCACATATCTACATCACTGTGTGGGAAGATTTGCATAATGCGTTTGTAATGAGTTTTAATGTTTTTGTCTCGTCGCTCCGGCCGGGACACGGCATCAACAGTATGGTGAGGGGCGTAACATTTCCATCACACGCTTGAGATATTCGACCAATCACAATGCACTGGATAGCTGGCCAATCACAGCACACCTCGCTTTTCAGACCGATGAGGTTTGTAAAAATCGACGCGTTTCAAAAAGGCGGGGCATAGAGGAGAAACAATAATGTACAGTATGTGGAAAATAATGTTTTTTGTTTTACTTTAAACCGCATAAACACATTTCATTACACCAAATACACAAAATAATGTTCTTTTTAGCATCATATGACCCCTTTAAATGAATTTATTTTGCTTTGAGTCTGAGTATGATTCAGTGGGCTTTTAATTGTCAGGAAATTACTTGTCTTTAAAAGTTTTGGTTCAATATACTTACCTGTTGATCAAAAATAGCCTTAAACCTATACAATTTTTTATTTTATTTTTTTTTATTTATAAGTAACTTTCACGAGGGTGTACTAATTTTTGCAACAAAATGTTATCACTTTGATAAGAAAATCTTATTTTGCTGAATCATTTTGGCATTCTTCTTTGGTAATTGCTCAAGCAGGCTTGTTGGAACATTACATCTCCAAAGAACCCTAACATGTCTTCTAAGTAAAGAGTAATTGCTGAATTTGTTAAGTTTTAGAG